ATGCGCGTCAACGTACCTCTATATACTTACGAAACGAAAAGACGAAGGGAGGAAAGGCGTGTATAATTATGCGGAACCCAAAGCAGCCGTGTCGATGTGACTTTCAAAATCGAAAGCAGTCCCCGCTCGGAGCTATTGTACAATCGGAGTAGAATATAATACAAAGGCACACGCGTGTACATATTATATACTTATATAGAAAAGAAACGCGCGGAGCAGAGAGCACATAATATAAATTTCAAGGTAAGCTCAATGCCGTATATTTTGCGGTGGAAGGCGGAGGAAAGGGGAGGGGGCGCTTTATGCGTATACCTATGATCATTTAATCTGTATATTGTATATATAGGTACGTATATACAGTGGTACAGTGAGATTGCGGTAGCGATTGATTAGTCGAATATCTCGGGCGCTATGTATGGATGCGCGTTTATTTAAAATTTTTTTTTTTTTTTTTTTTTTTTTTTTTTTTTTATGTAGGTGTAGATGACGTGGAACCTTTTCCTGACTTATTGGCAAACCAACCGAGTTGTCTACTTTTATCATTTATTTTGCCGCGTATGTATAATTTTGAGATGGCGCTGGTTTGTCCTTTATTTCAGAAATTCTCAAGTATTTTTTTCATACAGGGAAACATAACGCGGATCCATTGTACGTGGTAAGTATTAACTATTAGCATCAGGTGCAGACGCGTTTTGAAAGGGAAAACGCGTGCAAAGCATCGTCTAACTCCGAAAAATAAAAAAAAACGCCGACTAAGCATCCATATATTAGTCGTTACCGTTGCCATGTACTTACAGAAGCGCTTAAGTGAAAAAAAAAAAAAAAAAAAAAAAAGAACAGAAGAGGTATGCTTCAAAGTCATTCTCCTGATGCACGCACGCACGTAGTGACGCAAGACAGTTTCGCGATTTTGTTGTAACGCCGATGTTTCAAATGGAAGGAAAGAGAATAACGCGGAAGAGTGTCGTATTGAACTTGGAAAAAGAAAACCGGCAATGGCTCGAGTGAGTCCATATCGAGTATATTATCGATGATACTCGTCAAACGTATCTCCGACTCTGTGCCTGTTGAAAACGACACTGTTGATCCACAATGGGCGATTTGCAAGAAAAAGTAAGTTTGCTCGAGCAGCTAAAATTACGTGTACAACTGTATTTGTTGACAAAAGTGGCAAGTATTAGATAAATGGTGTGTAAGTACCGTAACTTTGTCATGTGAAAAAATATAAAGGCAACAGGAATCCGTACGCTTATATACGTACGCAGATACCCGAGTCTTTGTACACAGGGTAAGCCGAGCTAGCGCAGCTGCTTCGGCGCGTAACTGTACGGTTTTCTTTTCTTTTTACGGAAAATATTGAATTTCTGCGTGAAACGGCCAGCCCCGCATCCGCACGTAATATATGTATCACCTATACTTACCATGCAGCGTTGCACGTATATATACGTGTAACTGAAGCATGAGACGGAAAGAACCAAGAGACTGGGTGAAATTCATCATGTGGGAATAAAGTGGGAAAGAGGCTACTGAACGTGGGGTTTCAATTGCCAATTGCTGTTTAAGCGTTTGTTCAACAAAAACAATTAAAATTGCGTTTTTTGTAATAAATTTTGTTTAACAAATTGGTACTTTCGGCTCAAAACTAAGAGTTTTTTTGGATCTCGTCAACTACAATCGCGAGTTGGTCAATTTTTCATTCTCGACGAGCTGATTTCCATCGCCAGTTTTCAAACTTTTTCGATTGGGATTTTAGGTTTCTTATACGTACTCCAGTATGAACGACAAATGTTAAAGGCAAAGACGAGAGGGGCAGTGGATGCGACTTTATGACTATTTAGCTTTCCCACGATGGAATCAACAGTTACATAGGATTAAGATAGTATTTTTTTGTTCGCATTATCTAAGGATAGGGGGGGGGGCGAGTATCTCGTTGGGTCCGTCAGTCAATGGAGATCGTTAAAATAAGAGGAAAAACTTATCGCAATGTGGCTCTTCGATCGGGTGCTCGTGAAGTACTGATTTTTCCCCTCTATCTCTCAGCTGTATGATACTGTGCATATAGTCAGACGAAATCATAATTTTCAAGAGATGTAGGAATCATTGGATGCATTGTGTGGGATGAAAATACTTTTAATGGAAAGTAGAAACGAGACACGCTTATACGCGTACGGATACAGGTTGTGGAGCTCGAAGCCATAATTTACCCGAGAAAACTATTATTTCAAAAGAAAAGCCATTTTTCAGAGTCACGCGCTCAACGCACCATCTATTTTCAGTATTCGACTCGTATAGATCGGCTTTTCTTCGAAGTTTCGACAACCATTCGGTTTACACTGCTCACACACACATATATATATATATCTACTTGTATACAAATATACGTGCGCAGACTGACGCCTGTTTCTCACAGACGTCTGGTCCACCCCCTACCCCCCACTGAGATCATGCAGTGGGTAGCGCCTTTGTGCGTCACACATATGTGCAATGTCACACGAGACAAGAGCAATGCAAGATGCAATGTTATATCACACACATATTTATCATCCAACATCTTAAGGACTCATGATATGCGATTATAAATTGTATCAAATAAATGTAACTTTATGGTAGATTATAAATAAGAGCATTGTTGTTTGAGTATCGAGGTTCGCTTTGCATTCCAGAATACATGTTCAATGTTTCCTTTTCATATTTTTATTTATTCAATAAATCCCTTTCTTTCGTTAACTAAATTTTTTTAGATACTGGATTAAATAAATGGCTTCAGAAAACTCAGAGAGTTTTTTTTTCTCTTTCTATTAATGTATACTCTTGAAAGAGAGATAAATACTGTGCTGTGTGTAAGTACTGGTGCTGTGCTGAGAGAGTACTCATAGTAGGATTGAAAATGCTACCATTTTTTCATGGGATTGTGGCATGCTTTCGGAGGACATGTAAAATCATTGCATAAAATATTTTTTTATGTTAAATGTTAAACAGCATTTATGAAATGTAACTGAAATGGTTGTTGAATATAGATACAACCTACTCTGAAAAAATGTGTAAGCTCATCTACAGTGACGATCACTATGAATAACGCTTTGGTAACTCGCACGTACATGAAAGCGTGAACTTGTTTTTTAGCACGACAGGAGATTTCTTTCTTACTTTGCACTAACATAAAGCAACATTATTAGCGAATTAATGAGACTCTGGTGCTCGAGCTTGCAACCCCAAAAAATTTCCATTGAACAATTTATAACTTACCACGCGTAGGTACTTCTTGTGACATCTTTTATGAGAGTGAGAGGAGAACTGCACTTTGAGCTTTTAGCACTTGTTACCTGCAGCTATCAAATTACTGTATGCATATACTAACTATGAACTATGAATATTGTTTAGCAAAACCTTTTTGACTCCTGTTTTTCACCTGCAAAAAGACAAATTGTTTGTATTGAGCTTTTTGAAGAGATGCCTTAGTTTTGATAACTAATTTATGGACTCACCTAAGTAAATACACATGGTTTTGCAGAAAGAGTAAAAATTGGGTTATTATTTTGTTAATATATAAGATGGGTTGTACCTGTAAAGTAATAAAGGGTTACTGTTAGGCAATAAGCACCTCAACTATAGCTATAACAGCCACATGATGGCTCTGTCGGTAGCGTGTCTGCCTACAGATCTTGATGGCCGGGGTTCAAATCCCACTCTGGACAAAAATTTCATCATTGAATGAGGTTTTTTTCTGGATGGGAGTTGTACTTCAATAAACCTACCGATCCATCTACCGTTTCCTCCTACTGTTATTAAACCCAACGTATGGCTAAATACACTTTATAGTGTCAAAATAGCCATGTCTGAGCCCTTAAGGGGCGATGATGAATATAAAAAAAAAAAAAAAAAACTATAGCTATAGGGTATCAACAACATGCATGTGAATGAATGGTTGTTCTTACGGTTTGCGGTTGGAATACGTGATTTTAGATGTCTATGGAAAAATTCAATTAGTTTTACTCATTTGAATCAACACTTGATCCCATCGAAATAAACTTTGCAAGAAAACGCCAATTCTCTTCTTAAATCCTCGTTATACTGATACTCTAGTAGGTATACATACTACGTACATACATGTTTTTAACAGGTTTTTAAAATCTATACCGGGAGGATGAGGTTATGTTCCAACTATATGCAACAAACAATACAGGCGCCACTTTCTCATCACTTTAGAATTTAATTAATGAATTTTGAAAAAAAACTACTTAAAGTCATTAAAAATGAAAAAACTGTTAGTAAACGGCAAGTACAGTTTAAAATTTTTTAATCTACCAGTCGATAAGGACAGACCCGTAAGTAGTACCTACTTATACCGCTGATGGTGCACGCGGATTCTTCCTTTACTGGTAGGTTAAAAATTTTGACAATAGCGCTTCAAGACGGCGTGCGAAAATTCACAAGTTCAATCATCTCAATTCCAAGCTGTCAAGTCCAATAACCACGCAATTGGGACTAAAACAATATTAAATAATATATTGCGAACATGCTCTTTGGTCTTGCACTTATAAGTGGAGTCTTGCAATCTTAGTTAAGTAAGATTGTATGTGTAAGCGTACCCTCACTTGGTGCGTTGATGACGACTATTGGTTTGACTTTGTTCTGAAATTTATAGGAATCATTTTTTTCAATTTTTTAATAATTATTTATGTTGTATGTACCTAACTTTACGTAAAATAGCGAAAAGAGCTGTCAACTTGATACTTTGAGGAATCAATTGAAAAACAAACAGCTGGTACTGATAAAGTTGAAAATTCTAAATTGGTCATAAATAATGACAAAAATAATAATATTCATAACAATAAATATCTTCGAAAAATAGGAAATTTATTTACAAATGGAAAAAATTCACTAATAAGGTTCGCTCAATGTTGATGAAAAGTATTTTTTTTATTTACTGTTTCAATTTAAAACAATTTCATATTAAAATTTTAACAATTTGTAACTTGGTGTTACATAATTTCAAGATCTCAGATGTCCGATTGAATTGACGAGTCGCTTGAAAATTCATGCAAAATTTTACCTTCAACAATAACTTGTTCAATAATCGATTTACAGAAAAAACAAGTCTTGCTATTTAATCTATGCCGTTCTATGCACATCAAGCAAGAAGAATGACCGCAAGGTTTAAAAATTGCCGTGATGGGATAGGCGTAGCAAATTTTACAAATCTTGTCGTCATCGCACGGCGTTTCAATTGGTAATTTCTTACGATTATAATCCAAATGTTCTATTATCTTTTTGACCATTAATATTTCTTCTTTTGAAACGCTATCTTCGTCTGAAAAAATTCCAATTACATTTTAGGAGACTTGAAAAAAATAATTATTATTATCGTTAACTTACAATTTAGCAGTGAGAACGGCCTGTAATTTTTTATTTTGTTTGTTTTAACTTCACCCAATACAAAATTCAATGAAGACATTTGAAAACTCGGCTCCGATATTATCGTCATCGTAACTTGAGGAATTTCATCTGATTCTGTAGGAAGAAAAAAAAAATGTCAAATTTATAAAATTACAAAAAATGCCATTTAAAAATTTAGACATACCTGGTAGTAAAATATCTTCTTTTAGTAAAGCTATGAGGATCCCTAGGACGGCAGTCGAGATTGGAAAATGATCGACTGTCTGGAGATCTGGTATATCAAGATGCAGGACGTGTTGAAAAGAACTGGTTGGCATACTTATTCGATTAAGAATTTGACAAAGTAGCTGAAATACAATAAGCTCAGGTGTCATTCACGCTGATTTTTGTTTTTTTTGTTTTTTTTTTTTATTGCAAAAAAATTCATTTGATTATACCTGGCATAATCTGGCAAGGAGATTGCTACTCGACGGCAACGTAAAATCGGTAAAAACTTCGGAAGCAATGGAGGCCGTCATCTCTATTACTCGTAAAAGCGAGACAGCCAGTTCGAAGCAAGTCGCGCATATCCTGAGCTGCCGTGACTCTATGAAAACGCGTTCCGGTCTCGATGAGACGTTATGGATTTCCTGCACCATTTCAATGAACTCGGAGAAGACCCAATTAAGCTGATTCAGCAGAGAATTTAAAAATACAACGGTCGCTTGATTATTTCCAAGTAAAATTTCTTTGACATGGGCTTGGAAGACCAGTGATGGACATGGCTCTGTAAAAAAAAATCGTACCATAAAAATTAGTTCTATGTTTTTTTTCATGCAAAACTTTGTTGGCTTACTAATGGTCCGAAATAACGATTCCTGAGTTAATATTTTTGGACCGACTTTCTTAGCTACGTGAGGACTCTTCTCGTATCGAAAAGCAAACCCGTGGCCTTGCCAAAATCGCACGAGGATCCAATTGGACTGCGCCCAAGCTCTGTTTTCGTAAGATTTCAGCAAGTTCGAGACAACTTTAAGCCTCGCGTCTTTCGTCACACTCTCCAGCGCGTCAAGGGTCATCGAGTTTGAGGCGAACCCAGCCAAGGATGTAATTAGCGTGTCCTTTGAATTTGCATTGATTATGCGAGCATCCAAAAAATGGTCGCATAAAAATTGCGCTATGTCTTTCAACACCGTTCGGAAATCGGTGATCTTATCGACCAGCACAGTCGGATGGATGTGATTTTTCAAACCGTTGATCAGATCAGCCAAGACCTCCAAGTAAAATTCAGGAACAAAACTAAAAAGATTTTCACTTTCGCTGGCTCTTTTTAAAGTAAGCAGCACCGTTCTCAACACCCAAGCTATGCGCTCCTGTTTCTCCTCCGAATAAACAACCGCTCGAACCCAAGCCATGTGTCGAGCCTGTTCCGTCAGCTTCGTCTGAAAAATTTCCGCAGTTTTCAGCAACTGACTCTTAATATTTTCAGAGTCCTCGTCTTTCATTTTTTTCACTATGTCCAATCGGCTCTGCATGTCCGACATCGCAACAGAGTATTCCGTTATAACATCTCGTATGTTGGCTACTTTGGCGATTTGTTTTTTCGCCGCCGCATAATAAAATAGTATTACTCCGTCCAGCAATTCGATAAGCGACGTCGTAGGATCCACGGATCCAAACTGCAGCGGAGGTTCCCTAGCGTAGGACGGAAAGTATCCGATCCTTTCCAACATGTTTGGGTTGCCCAACGGATTGACGCCGATCATTCTGGCGAAAACCGATATGACAGGCGTATCAGCGACCCTTGCGGAAAATAAATTATTGGTGCCCGTTGTCGCTGCTGCCGCTGCAGTCAATTGGGTATCTTGCGATTGGTCTACAGCATCCTCATCCGTTCCAAGCAGCTTGACCAAATCGTTTCTGAACGTCTTTTTTAGATGAGACAATACTCCACCCAATCGTTCGATATTCGAGTAATTGATTGACGAGTCGCAGAATGATCTGAATTGAAAATATTGTATTTTTAAATACATCTGACACAGCCTTGGATCAATTTTGAAACTAAAGTTTTATTACTTAAGTACCTGCATGGTACGAAAATTGGATTAGTTCCGACTTCGGTATCCCACAAAACTCTAAAGGCAACTAAAAGTCTGTGAAAGAAGCATAGCGTGACGGGTAGTGGCGTCTGGTAAGTGATGAATCGCTGTAAAAATGAAGACTAAATTTCTTTTGAATAATCACCAACCTAGCCAACCAGCTTTCATAAGTCTTTGAGTACTTACGCGATTCGATACCAAAGTTTCTAGTACAAAGCGTCGGAATTTGTTTAAAAATATCGTTCTAGACGTTGGCGTCGACGAATTGCCGTCTGTGTTGTTCAACAGAGTCGTCAAAAATTCCACCTGAAGAGCTTCTACTTCTGAGACGCGAAAATAAATAAATTTGTTTAGCTACTCTTATTGCAACTTATTGACACGTAGATATAATGTTTATTGTATTACCTGACGTCCAGTATTTTATTTTATCACAAGCGTTGATGTAAGAAGTTTTGTGAATCTCTACCGATGGATCTAATGGATTAGTTTCGTACCAAATGTTGTTTACAATGTTGTTTAGGCAATCTTCGTCCAACGGTTTCACGTGAATAAAATTAACTAGTTTCGTTTTGTCGAATAAAACAAATTGCAGCAAATATTGCCTTGTCAGCGCATGTTGACAAAAACAGTTGAGAAGTACTAGTGTTGTCCGCTGCTCGGGGTACTCTAAATCTGTTGAAACTTGACGAAATACAGACGACAAATATGCAACTGTGGTTTCGAGGCAAACTTTGATTTCGTGCACTTCTAGAAACGACCACATCAAGTCTAAACAAGTGTCAAGCATGGAGCAGTCTTTTTTCGCAAGTTTGCTGGTAAAAGGAACAAAAATATCCTCAGCAACATAAGGTACGTTAACTAGTGGGCCAATTTCCTTAAAAATATGTCTTGCTAGGCACAAGAGAAAACCTCTGGGACTTATTTTTTCTCCTTCACACGTGTCGTCCAAGGTGTCGAGACTTTTAAACTGTACAAGTAATTTTTCTAGCCACTCGAATAAAATTTGAGATTTTTCAAGTTGATTAACAGGTGCATTTTGTAGTATCTGATAACTTTTCACGGGATATCTCATGGGAGTTCTTCCAAAATTAGCTGTTAAATTTTCACTCAATGCTAAACTAACAGTGGGAAAATAAACGATTCCCGGTCCCATCGAAATTTTTTCGAAAGCAACTCCAAGGTTCTTTCCATTCCTAAAAAAACATATTGTCCCATCGTCCATATCTATCGTGGTACCAATAATATCTCCTGAAAGCCAAGCTTCTCCATACTTGTGTGTTGAGACATTCCATTTTCTTATTCTATTTCCATCGTAAGCATATGAATTTACTACGTCTCCTTCAGAGGCAAACAAAAAAACTGTATCAAGTACTCTGGTTGAAAAAAAATGTGAAAAAACAACTTACCAACTCCAGATTCCTGATTGTATTTACATTGCCCAACTCCCCAACCCAACTGCATGACTCCCCTTGAGCCCAACTGCACTTCGTACATCCACTTGCCTTCGTATATTCCAGTGTTTGCTCTCATCGTACTGAAATTACTCTGTGAATTAACACTGAGCCTATCCGGAGAAACAATAAACAATCCATGATGAGTGGACATGTCAAACCGAACATTTTGAGGCCCAAGTCTGCCTCTCCTATCATCTGTTTTTTTACTAGGAATTTCATATTCTTTAAGCACATTGCCAACATGATTTTCAACAAAACTTATCATCTGCTGTAACCTGCAACAAATTCATCATTACAGTCGTCTACTGGGAGACTGTTATTGAAAATGTTTTTCAAGTCACTGCAATGCGTACTCGATATCCTTATTGTATAAATCATTGCTGTGATTTTCTTCAAAAATTTGCTCTCCAAATATATATGAAACGATGTCTTTCACATACATCTTTTATATTATTATTTTTTTTTTTTTCAACTGTGAAACTCAACAGTTGAGCTGAAATTCCTGCACCATTAGAAATATCAAAGCATTGAGTAAATTATTACCTGTAACGTAAATAAAAAAAAATATAAAAACCTCTACTTGAAACTAATTAAAACAATAAAATGTACATGTACTCACGTATGAAAAAAAGCAAATCTACTTTTTTTTTTTTTTTTTTTTTTTTTTACTAAATTCAGGTTAATAAAGACCACAGAACACCACAATTTATATCACATGTCACTTTCATTTTGACAAAATAATACGTTGAATTTGCTGTCACGTGAGCTGCCAAAATCAACAGCATTGATGCTTTCAATGTTTGACAGCATGTTTTTTACACAACACTATATATACGCAGTGCGCATATATATTTATATACATATAAGTATAGGTACCAAATACTAATGACGGCGATGATGCTTTCGTTGCCTGGTTCGCGTTGTTGGTGTATAGGACGCGTACATACCTACCTAGCACCTACTTACAAATTTATTTAGATGCTTACGATGTGTTGATGTAAATAAATAAATACTATAACGTGTTCCGCTGATTAATTATTTTTCATTCATAAAACTACGTTAGTGTGAACGCGAATAGAAACCATATGAGTTCTTTATATTTATACTTATATATAATATAAAAAAAGAAAAAAATAATACTCTATTTGGGTTTCTAAAAAACTATTTTTTCTACTGTTGCTTATTTGTGTATAAAAAACAACCGCGATTGATATCAGTACACCCTTAAACGTGTAAAAAAAAAATACAGCATTGCATCTTTCTCACTCTCAGTCTATACTTCTCGGTAGTTGCAGCTTTGTATTCATTTTTGAGATTTAAATGTATTTGTAGGTCAACTAAGTTATTTTAAATGTAAGAAATTTATAGTTTTCTTTTCTTCTGTTTTCTCACCTGTTAAACAAATGCCATCATCTGAAGTTCGAAGATCATTGGCTTTTTCATATTACAGCTTCATCCAAACGGATAAATTTTTCATGTTCTGCTGATACAGCCTCCTTATAGTGTTGGATGATTAAGTTTCATAACAATCACTCGAAAATATTTTGTTTGAAAATTTTTGAGGGACGTGGTGGAAAATAGTAGTTATAGTATAAAGTATTACACATTCAATCAATTTTATTTTTAATTTCCTTGCATACAACAGTATAGGTGTATTATTTATTTTTGTTTCCAATAAAAATATATTTTAGAAATTTTTTGGATTTCAATGTTTTATTATTATAATTACTGTTACGATGGGTACAATTATCGTGTTACATTTTCAATTAATTTATAAAAAATCACTAACTAGTTTTTATTAAAAAAATTACTCGGCTACAATAAAATTTACAATTAATGTACGTATAATAAATGTAAAAAGTAATTTTATAAGCTACTTTAGAATTCAAAAGTAAAAAATCACTGTACACAGCTATAATTTACCTAATACGAGACAATAACATATATATGTATAATCAGAAAAAAAAAAAAAAATTAAAGAAAAAATTAATTTAGGAAAAAAATATTTTACAATAAATGTGGTCTTTTCTAACTTTGGCATCATTTTTTATTGCAGTGAAGAATATCATTGATTCGTTCCATCTGCATTGTGTTTATCATTACCTTTTGATAATTATAGTAGTCGGTCTCATATAGGAGTTTGACTTTAATTATTTTTCTTAATTGCTATATGCACACTGTTACGGTATATATTTACCGCTGCGTTCTAAATAACGTCTTGGGTTTCAAAGAATATATATGCGCAGATTTGTTAATCCCTTACGCTTATACAGCGTCAAATAGTCATTTTCCCATCACGACGATTATTATTGTGTGTGTACGAGGAAAAGGCATGATTGCATGAGTTACTTTTTTTATTTTCAGTTCACGTAGCTGCGGTGCGTTGTATTACATACCTACAGCGACGGGTGTACACGTGTTCATTTCCTTCATCATCATTCTCACTGTTACATTTTGAATTATTACTGTTATTATTATTATTATTATCATGAAACACTGCCTTTTCGACGCTTGCGTTTCAAAAATTTTTCATCTTTGCTGCAGCCTTGCCTTCTCTCTAATATTATCCGCTTCATGACTAGAAACCTTGTTTCATTGGTCATCTCGTAAAAAAATAATTGTTAGAAGGAAAACAATTTTTTATACCGTGGGTCTCCTTGTTTAATGTTATGGCGAATGACCTATGACCACACGACACCTCTCCGACATGTATACTAATTAACCATTATCATTCATTGGGCGGACTAATTGGTCAGGGAATGGCGATTTGGCGACGGGTAAAGTGTGTTTAATATACCTAATAAATATACGAATACAAGTATCGCATTAATTCGTGTGCTCGGCGCTCTGTGCCTGTTTCTCGATTTTTCTGGCTAGCTCTGGACTCATGTGGGGATGGGGATAGGGCAGCACCGGTTTCCGCAGTATCGCCGGCTTGACCTTGAGATGCGGTATTTGCGGCTGCTGCATCTGGCTGCCACCGGTCAGGTGCATGTCCGCGAACTTGGCCGCTATTTTGGGCGTGGATCGCGGGGGCAGGGGAGAGCGCAATCCAACCCGGCTGGGAGCCGGCTCGCCGAGTTGGCTAGAACTGGCCGAGCGCACGATCGCCTCGCAAGCCTCGGGCTCGTCCGACTCGATCTGCGACGGAGCCGGCCGGACCTTGCCACTGGCGTCCTGCACCGGTGGGCCAGCCTTCTTCTTGAGCGTGCACTGATTCTGCTTGGCAAAGCGCTCGGCCGCGGTGCTCATGTCCGGCGAGTCGGGACCCTTGGCCGAGGGCCCTGGACGACGCGCCGGTGGACTATCCTCGTCGGAACTGCTACCGCCGCTGAGACTGCTCGTCGACGTGGACTTTTTACCGAGGTCCTGGGCCGAAAGGGGTAGATCCATCACGAGGTCGGGAGTGTGCTTCTGGCGCATCTCGCGGATCTCTAGGGAGGCCCGCAGCATTTTGGCACCGGGCGTGGGATTCAGCTGCGTTTGCGAGGTAGCCCGTCTCTGCCAGAGCTCCCGGTTGGCCAAGAAGCTCGTGCACTCTAGCTCGCTCTCGTCGCGGATGGTGGACACCGAGCCGGCGCTGCTACTGGCGGTGGGTACCGTCGGGGCTGGTTCTCGCGCGGGCTCGCCCACGCTCTGTGACTTCCAATGGTGCTGCTTTCGTGCCCCACCTCGACGCGCCTCGGTTTCGGTATCGCTACCGGCGACTTGCCTACTCGAATGGTCGATCACGTCTGCGGATAGCAGTTCTTTATTCGAGGAGCCCGGCGTGCTCTCCGCGGTGCCGGCAGTTGCTTCGGCGCCAGAGTTGGTCAGCTGTTGGGTCTTACGCTCTGGGCTGGATGGTCTCGCCGATCTGCTACTCAATGTCGTTGCTGCTGTTGTTGCTGGCAAAGTTACGTGTTCCTACAAAATAACGGTGACATTGAGTTCTCGAGCAATATTTTTCTGGCTATATTTTTTTTTTTTTTTTTTTTTTTCGTAAACATTTAACGTTTAAGTGTACATATACCACGCACTCGAGAGTTATTTGGCGGACGCATGATGATGATTTTACGTGAAAAGTCAATCGTTAAGCGACTCGGAATGTGTAACATATAAAATTTGTTTGGAACATCTTTGAAACTGATCGTTGGGCAGACAACATTAATCGTTTGTTATACATGTTGATTGAAACCTTATTAAAATTTATAATTTGAATGAGTAGACGGCACTTTGTGAGTAAATGAATGAGGTTTGTAGATACGAGGAAGGGGCGAAGGACATGCTAGAACGTTCGAGTCTATCGGTTTAGATGTAGACATGCAAAATAGTAATCAATAATTAGATGGATACGGCATGCAGAAACTGACTACAAAAATCGAAAAATGCATGATTAGAAAAATAATATAAAATACGTAAAAAAAAACTGCTCGCACACCCGAGACAAAAACAACAATGCAAACAATCGTCGATTTTTATATGTAATACCTGCATGAGATGTCGTGGGACGTGCCAACCCTGGCAGAAAAGAGATTTCGTTTGATAACTTTTACTTTCAATGAGTACAAGTAAATAGCAAGCCGATTTTCATGCTCGATCTTGCTGCGAGCACTTTTTTTGCCAGGGAAGGTCGATGGAGTTAGTTGTATTTTTTTTTTTTTTTTTTTTTTTTTTTTTTTTTTCAAGCAAGTATGGGGCGACGCTTCTCTTTTTCTCTTTCTATTTACTCACCTAAGCCCAATGAAAGTCCGTTGCTTATGTAGTCCCGACAATTCTCTTCGGTATCGTCTATGCATCGATATTGTTCTACAGTCATAATTTATAAACCAACTGAACTGTCAAATTCTGACATTCCTTAAACCAAATTAAAAAGAAAAAAAGAAAAAAAAATGTATATACAAAAGACAAACAGAAAACACACAAAAATAGTAACACATATTATGATAAACCATGACAGCACACACTGGAGACTGTTATTTCGAGTTTTGTTTAGTTCGTCAACATATAGCGTGCTACTGCCGCTTGCAACAACTGCTTTTACAGCTACATGAACATAAGAATTGCTTTTTGGTTTTTTTTTTATACTATTATTGTACTTGGCTTCCAATAGAGGATAGTGTGTTGGCTAAACGTATATCTGGAAAAATAGCAACCAACTCAATCAATTTGACGGATTTTTGGAAGATTGTTGAGGCGTGGAGTGAATTTTGACGGCAAGGCACAGTCGCAAGGCAAAAATAAAAAAGATATGTATAAATAGAATGCATGCGGCAAACAACACTCTCTCTCCTATTAAATTGCATTTGTAATTTATTTACATAATTATTTTACAAAAGGTTCAGATCTAATATCATAGTCGTAAATAAATGAAACACGCTTTTACCAAATACAATTATGATTTTATCTTTTCCTATAGCTATACTTTTCGTTACAATCCGGTTTTTAAGAAAATGTTTCAAAACCTTAGGATACTTTCAAAGTAAAATTTTCTAATCAAAACGCTCTCGCAACAAAACGTTAACAAAAACAACATTTTAAAAGGAGCTTGCTCCATAATATTATAATAATATTTAATAGACAAATAAAAAAGTTTATTGTCTTGCAACAAGCTTTCTTATCATTATATCTAAAGTCAGTCTTTTGAGAGATTCAGTAATGATTATGGCTGATATAGTTCATCACGTTACATCAAACATGGAAAATATCATGAAAAATGATACAAAAACGTCTTCACATATGGTAAAATCATTATCGTCGATTCGTTTTAAACGATCCAACAATGTAGCTGTATGTGTAATTAGCAGTGCAAGTGCGTCATTGGCAAGAAAAAGATGTGTGAGCCGTAACTACAAAATGGCATTCCAGCAATAGTCTTAAAGACAAAAAATTGCAAAAATTAAAAAAAAAAAAAAAAATAAAAAAAAAAAAAAATAAAAATAAACTAGGTATCAAAGAAAAATAGAGGTAAAGTACGTCATGCACCTTTAATTATCTTGGTAAAACTTTAGATGTAATAAACAATACACGAGCTATGTCAATGGAAAGCAAACACAGGATCATGAAAGTTGTGATGTAAAAAACTGCTTAAACGGTTGTTTCCAATACCTCACGACTGATGATGGCTTGTGACGACGTAGAATTGACGCAGGGAACACTCGTGACGACTGATGGTGCGATTGCATTGGCACTTGAGTTGACCGATTGCATCATGTTTGCAGCCATTGCTGCTTCACACGCAACAACTGCTGCATTATTACTGTTTGGTCCCATCAATGGGGAATTATTACTCGACAATACACTGTCAGCCGAACTTGACGTTCGTCGTCTCATCGACTCTTCGCTCGATGACGACTTTAAATCTTTGTCTCGCTCATCGTCCCTGTAAAAAATGTTTAACAAAATTAATTGAATTCTTTTACCGTGATGACATGTTGAAAAATGAATGTTTTCACGACTCACTTTATTTTGAGCATGATGTATTTATCCGGAATAAGACCCTCTTTGCCTCCTAATGCTCCTCTCCACCAGTCATTGCTAACTTGCGTGTACAACGTTAATGTATTGCCTTTTTTAAAACTAAGTTCTCTTTCAGATCGAGCTTTAAAGTCGAATTGTGCCGTGGCTTCTAAATTTTCGGATTCTAAAAGTGAATATTCACATAATAAATGATTACTGTTTAATAAATTGGTCAAATCTTTGTATACAAATCTACAAACCGTCTTCGGATGGATATACTTCTGAATCCATATCTTCTTGCACTTGTTCCGTTGGAGAGTCCCCTACATCTCTGCTCCCAGCAAATACAAAAATTATTATTTACATGATTTATAATTCGATAGCTGAGAAAATTGTATGATAAGATTAACGTACTCGTCATCAGGTTCTCTACTGATGTATTTTTCATACTTGATGCCTCCAATATCGTCCGGGAAAATCTCCTCATTCAACGTTATGATATTTTTAATTAGTTCATTCACTTGATTTTGATACTGAACTTGATCGACAGTGTTTGGAACAGGAACCAACGTCGGTCCGAAACAAATGGCTAAATTATAAGGATCCATCATATTTTCATCAGAAAACTCGGAGAGACTGAAAAGAACAAAAAAAATTGTAATGAAAATCGAATTGATTTTGCCTACCCAACATTGAAACAAAAGTCTTTACTTACTGATTAAGGAAAGCAAAGAGGTATCTCATAACTATAACTACTGGCCTCGGAAGACTGGAAATCACTTGTTTCATTCGTGTCACGAACTCTTGTTTCGACTCCAACTGCGCGAGCTCCATAAGTTGCTCGAAATAATTAGTTGGAAAAATGGGCTCCATCAATCCTCTCAAATACAACTTTAGCACCCCAGCGACGCTGTTTATATCGGAAGCATCAGTCATGTCGGCCAGAGGATCTTCGCCTTGTTCGAACCAAAATTTAAAATTATTGATTTCGATCTGCGATCCAGAAACTCGAAATATCCCTTGATGATGCAAGCCGTATAGATTGATAACTCGTATACAACTCTTGATGATGAGCGGAATTTCTTGATTGGTACTCTCCAAGTATTCCTCTAACGAGCCGCCAAACAATTTCGGCTGACCGTTCATTTGCAGCCGGCCTATTCGTTTCCTACCGGCTTGCTTCTGTTTCGTCGTCTTGATTGATAGATTTGGACTGGAATTTGATCCGTCCAGTAAACTCTGGCGAATGTATTCTTGTTTGGCATCTAATCTTGCTATCCTAGACGTTCCCAATAAATATTCTCGAAATTTCTAAACAGAGGCAAACGAAAAAACACAGGCTGTAAGTAATCTTTCCACCAGAGAAACAACTTTCGTGATTCATGAAAAAATGATGCGCGATAATTACTGCGAGGTAAAATTCCTCTGTTTCCTGTCGATCCGCTCTGAGCTTGATTTGCACGGTTTCGGGAGGCTTAGAGCTTGTCACTGCATTTTCTCCAAAGTACCTTGAGCAATCGTAGTCCTTGGCCGTGAGCATCTCGAGTAAACTTGTCTCGGCAGTTTCAAGAGTCTTCCAGACCTCCTCGGACTCGGTCCTAAGCGTAGTGACCCTTTGCTGTAGCTGCTGGAGTCTTTGCTCCATTTCGCTATGAAGCACCTTTTGTAACTCTGGTTCCGGAGTCTAAAAAGCGAAGACGCACCATTAGTTGATTAAAACACCAGAGAAACGTGGAACAAAAGATTGTGGGGGAGGGGGGGGGGTAAACTTACGTCATCACTCTTTTGACTCTGGAATTCAAACTTTTTCGGAATCATAAAGGCCGAGGGATGAGATATGAAAAATTGTTTCTTATCCGCGCGCGAATCCAAAGCGTTGATGCAAGCTGCCAGTTTTTCTGCTCCAGTTTGAAGCGACCTCTGCCTCCCCTCTTCCGCGCTGCAGTGCATCAGCAAAGCTCGAGCAATGCAATTGTGAAACCCGAAATCCATACACTATAAAAAAAAAAACAAACATCAAATTTCAAATCAGTAATTTTTTTTCTTCCACTTGATTAAAAATTGATAAAAAAAAGTGAATAAATGAACGCTTGATTAATAGTTTATTTAAAGATGGGGGGGAAAAAAAAAGGGAAATTTTTTTTCAAAGGGCAACTCACGTCGATGAGATCGGACAGGTCGTCGACAAAGTATTTGTGAATCGTTGTGTTTGAAGCCTCGAGGCAGAGGATGTATTCGTTCCTGGCCTTGAGCGCCTTTAGCTTCGCCTCGGTGTACTTGCTTTTTCTCTGTTTAAAAAAAGAAAAGCACAACATAATGATTATTAAAAAAAACAACAACAATGATAGGCGCGTCCAAACGGGAAGGAGGGTAAAAATGTCCGACAACAACAATGCACGAGCCATCGAGCGTTAAAGCGCCCAGCGAAGCGTTTGACCGATCAATCGATTTTACATTTTCATTCTTCCTCTATACGTACACGCGAAGGGGTTAACGCTATATACAGTGTATGTAATTGACACGAATCAAATATTGACGAAAGATTTGTCGCTTTACTTTGTATTTTTTTTTTTTTTTCACAGCTCGTTCGACACCCTAAAATTACCGATGTACAATGTGACACACAATAAATACAAATAGACCAAGTATATACTTGCCTTGCTGACTTCCTTTTCGATGAGCTTGTACTTTTTGCTGCGGGTGAGCTTCTCCGGGGGGGCGTTCGTGACCTCGAGCTTGGTGCGCTGTTGCTCGGCCACTCTGAGCTTCGTCTCGGCCTGGTGCGCCTCCGCCTGGTACGAGTGGTACGTCTTCATGGTCGTGTGCAACTCGTGCAGCACTCGCAGGATCTCCTCGTGCGTCTCGTAGCCGATCTCGCGACACTGTGCACAAACATGGATTATATTATGGAAAAATCATTAAAAAAAAAAAAAAAAAAAGAGGGCGATCCGTGGGTGGGGGTCAACTAACGCGCTTGTAGATGCGCTGGACGTCCTCGATGACCTGGTTGAGGCGGCCGACGAGATGGGTGCTGTAGACCTCGGACAGGGTGGCGTGATCTCGGCTCAGGGATTTGGTCTCGCTGACGAGTTGCTTCCAACACGAGTGGAGCGACTGCGGCCACTGCTCCCTCCTGAGCTCGAAAAGATAAAAAAACAAACAAAAAAAAAAATACAAGTTTTTAAGCAATCCAAATTTTATCAAACATGTTGTGGATATGAAACAGGCAAAGGGTATGTATATATACTTTTGCTTCTGGTCCTTGTGCTCGATGCTCTTGGCCATCTTGTCGAGGGACTTGCTGTACTCGAGCTCGAGCTCGGCCCGTTTGCGAAAAAAATCCTGGAGCTCCTCGACCAGCGCCACCTGCGCCTCCATCCGCACGTCCAGGCATCGTAGCTGCTCGTTCAGCTGCAGCCGGATGTCTGTGCAAAAACAAAACAACGACAAATGACTCTTTAGACCTTAAAAAAACTGATGTAAGTATACAAGTAACCCCGGGCGCGGGTATGAAGTTTAGTTTTTCCTTAAGCGACGATTTTACGTTTACGAGGCTGTGCGCGGGGGGGAGAAACCTATTTTTATCCGATTCTACGCTGCCGGGTAGAAATAGTTATATATATTATGTACAGAGACACACCGGGTGAAAAGAAAGAAAGACCATGTCTCCTTGTTATGCTTTATTTTTGACAAATGATATATTAAAAGACGTATTAGGTCTTTCGTATACGCGCGTGTGCGTGCACCATAAAGCACCCTACATATAATATATGAGAGAGAGAGAGAGAGCTAAAGTTGTGCACATTATCGATTTCCTTGGCTTTTTCTTCTTTCGTCGCGCGTGATTCACTCGCGCTCGTACCCTCGTTATTTTCCCCCCATGAATTGCTGCCGCACCCCTCGGGCGTGTGCTTCAAAAACTCTCGTAAGGCTTTGATCTTCAGCTCAGTTGGGGGGAGGGGAACAAAGCCCTTTTCGCTCCTACACTCTTACTTTCAGGAAAAAATACGCGCGCACACACGTCACCCTTAACTTCATACATACATATAGCTCATTGTACTGGTAACACGCTAACGTTAACCGACATTTACGTGTGTGCCTTACATGTCCTCTTGTCCCGTCATGTACGGCATATTATATATATATATAATACACGTGTAGATTATTATACAATGTGCATGATTTTCCGATGATTTTCTTATTCCCTTCCTTTGCAGTGTCGCTGTGTGAATTAATTTATTTTTAGGCACGACTGTTGACAAAAGTACACACACACCTCGTACTTTCTACAATACTAGTAGAAATTAAGTGTGTGATTTATTTTCGGGTGAGCAACACAGGGGCGATAACTAATTTTTTGGATGAGCAATGGCGGTACTTTTGTTGCGAGTAGGTGAAAAATAAAATATACATCAATAAATGTGTATGAACGTTATTACGTTATTGCAACAATTGATTACTCGAGGAGGAAGCGAAATCATTTTTTATTACTTTCAAAGTAAAAGTCACGCGTTACATGCGCCAATGTTTATATTTTTCGGCACAAATTTAGCCACTCTTGTTTTCTTTTCTATTTTTTTTTTGTTTTTTTTTTTTTTTTTTTTTTTTGTCAAATAGCATTTGCATACATACACATGTAAATTGTTGCAGCAAAGCGAGTTAATTATGGTGCTTATTTTCGTCCGTAGAGAATGTAATATTGTCTCGAAATAACCGGGACGCGAATCCAACGAATGTGCGGTGCAAACAGTTTTTCTCAGCCGAACACAACGCGCGAAATATACTTCCGAAGCAACCTGATGTATTTTACTTAGGAAACCTGACCAGATTAAGCAATAAAAGGTACAAAATGTAAATGTAAGTAAAAAAAAAAAAAAAAAAAAAAAAAGATTAGTAATGTTTTTTCAAAAGAAAAATATGCAATTGAACATTTTTACGAGGTGGTATTATTTTACAAACGTGTAGAAATAAAAGGTGAGAATATTGCAACGTATAATGGACAAATTATATTACAGAACAGGACAGTTTGGGATGACGATGAGGCAAAATTCGTAATGTCAGACTGCACACGCGGAGCCAAAATTTTCACGGAACTAAATACATTTATAATAAGTACAACACACGAACGAAAGACGCTCACGTGATTCCGTGCGTGGAATATTAATCGGGTGTGCACTTATACCTACGTCTTTCCGCGTCCGATGCGCGCCAAAACGCCGAGAGGCGCCTATATTTTGTAATTCCATAACATCCCCAATCCATGACTTTTTCTTTATTCCTTATCTTCTCTTGTGTCATACCGTACACGATCTATTGGCTCTTAACTCGTCGTCACTTACAACGAAGCCATACTTGAACCTTTTAAATTAATGGGACATCGATAAATTGCAACTTGAATTACCTCGTTGGAATTTACACGTATACATTAATTTTATGCTCGAGCAAACTATTTTTTTTTTTTTTTTTTTTTTTTTTTTTTTTTTTTTTTTTTTTTTTTTTTTTTTTTTTTTTTTTTTTTTTTTTTTTTTTTTTTTNNTTTTTTTTTTTTTTTTCTATGTATGATTAATTTATTGCAAACGACAAGTTTCATGTCGTACAGCACACTGGCGTAACTCTTGAATTTTGTTTCTCGTCTAAAAACTAATTTCAATGCGTAGCAAAGTTACTCAAAACACAATGGAAAAAAAAAAAAATGTACATCATTTGGCAGTACAGAGTTTACGGAGCTCGGGCTCCATATTCTCTCTGAAATTTCGGGATTTCTGACCAGTTGCCAAAAAGTTACTTTTGCTCTTGACGTCCACGCGTACACACACACACACACCCCCCAGGCTGCAACATTAGAAGGAAATTACTCACTCGTCGGCGCCGATCGTAAAACGCAGCTTGTGCTCGTATAATACCCACCATATCAATCGTCTTACCGAATTTCATCCCAAATCGCTTTATCAATAATACAGGCTATATTATCATCATCGCCGTTTAAGAAGAACAAATTTGTTCGCAGCACATCAATCGTTGCCGTGGACTGATCTTGTCCAAACATTTGGTTGTTTGCTCTCGATGATGGTACACACACACACACACAATACATACACTTCACGATCTCTCTCACTATCTCGATTTATCATCATTTTAATTCGTTTTTATCGTTGAGGCAATATTTACAATATTTCGGGAACCGAGCGATCTGCGGTGCAAAGTTATTACCGTACAACCTATCAAACCAATCAAATGACAATAAGAAAGTATATTCCGATTCATCGATTCGAGAGTTTTGTTGTTATACATTTGAAGGTAATATTGTGCGGCGGTCAAGGTTGTTGATTACATACTACGTCAAAGTGTAAAAAGCGACGATTGACCGCGGGGTATAGCGCCGTGAGCTTTTGTTCTCTCATTTAAAGCAAATGTGTATATAGACACCTACACGTAGATACATTGTCATTATCTCAATAGGTATACATATTATATAGTATTATGTCTAGCGCAAGCGACGAGAGTAAAAGCAGGGTAAGTTATATATACGGCCACTGTGGTTGATGATGGATGCACGAATCAAGTGCAATTATTATTATACGCTGTTGCGTCCATGCTCTAGTCTTTTTTTTTTTTTTTTTTTATACTCCGTGGAAAAAGATATGACCTCAATGTATACACCGACACATAAATTATTTCTTTGATGGTTTTGTTGAAATAAAATAAATAAAATGAAAAAAATCTCCGTGCATTCCAACGGAGAACAAAAAGAGAATAGTAAATTAGCAAGCTCGAAAGCACAGGTTTGTACAGCTCATACTGTGTGTATATAGAAAAGAAATCCAGGGACAGAGCTTTCGGGGATTAGCCTTTATTTGCAAGTGTATACGTGACGAAAGTTGTTTAACGTTAAATCCCATGGAGTATATAATATATGTACACACATAAAACGTACTCGCAGATTAGTGCAGCAGTGGAGCAGAGAGAACAAAGAATGCACACGCGCTCACACCATCACGTATTATGCGCTGAAGAAGGGAGTCGCGTATATAATTGAGGCGAGTCAAGTGTCATTGCTTGGTGCTGTCTACATATCGTGATTGACACTAAAATGTGTAGGAATTGTGCAAGCGCGCAGTGCGACGAAAAAATTGCACATTGAGCGCGAATCGAGCTTCATATACTGAAGTATGAATGGTTGATTGAAGGAAAGAAGGAAAAAAAAAAAAAAAAAAAAAAAAAAAAAAAAAAAAAA